TGGATCTCTTCCCACGCGTCCGACTTGACGGAGTTGACGCCATGTTGTTCAGAAGTCACGCTTAATTGCGTGTTGCTTCCCAGCCGATGGCGTACACGGATTTAACTTCTGTGATTGGCAGGTCAAGTCACGCTCCAATCTTCCCATGTCCGAGATTTCTAACCATGAATTGTTCATTAGACTTCTCAGCATAGGGTATTTAGATATCAAATCTAAGTTTATCGAGTCAGAGTAAACAAAATTTGCGCAAATTTTGTAATTCATGGTTGCGAATTAAGTTGTGGTTAGTTTCTATTATCCGTGGATACGCAAAGCTTTGGAACAACCACTGTATGGGTCAGAAAATGCAAATTTGGTACTCCCTCAGATGTAAACAAATTGATTTGTCAACGACAGACCAACTCATATCGACTTATCGAAATGATACCGGAACGCCATTATCGACTTTCCGAAGCGATGCCGCGACGGTGAAATATAATTCGACTTTCTTCGAGGGAGTTTCGATTAATACTCGTCGCAATCAGCATATGTGTAACCAAGTCAGCAGAAACTTGCTGAGACGTTTACTGTGGTAATATATGAGGTCAAATTTCATGACGAATGACCCCTTACGGATCCCCACGATATTTCACCTAAATAGAGTTATTTGGTGACATTTTGTTTGTCACGCATACCTCTTTACATCTGCTTTTCGCGGCTATTTGAGATCAGCGGAGGCGCATAATTGCCGCTCAGTCAGATCGATGAGGAACCGGAAGCCAAATAGGAAAAACCGAAAACCACATCGGATACCAAATCCGGAAAAGCATTTAAATTCTCACTCTGCAGTTTTTACTCAGTCTACAGTCTGCAATCTGCATTTTGTACACAGTCTGCGTTCACGGTACCCGGTCTGTGATCTGCAGTCAGCATTACGATCTGAAATTAAGACTGTGCTGCCATTTTGCTTGTGCTGTGGGATCCGATACCTGATAAATTCAATAGGATAACCTTCGGTCACTCTACGCCTTATCGCGTCCTGGCGCTTTCTAAAACTCGCTTAAATATCATTTTTATAGTAATTTGCATACATTAACCTTTTTCTGATGTTTAGAGTTTGCTAGGATTACGGTGAAATTAGCGCGCTTGCGATTTTTTGCCGGAGGACACTCGCGAAGGTGGGAAGTAACCTAATCCGAAAAATTTGGTTTGGTATTTGCAAAAAAATTAAAAATTTGTAACGACTAATTTTTTTGTTTTCGTAATAGCGTTTGCACTTGAGAAGTGCGAATTATTTGTGTAGCCACATATGTCAATCAATCGAAATAGATGCCGAGATTTCGTGGCAGTGCGTTTTCTTTTATGTCGTTTCTGGTTAAGGCGGTTGAACACAGTTTTCGCGCGCGCTTTTGCTGATGCAATTCAGCGCGCGCACAAGGATTGTGAAAAACAAACATGCCGTCAATAGAGCGGTCAGTTTGTTTACTCAACGCATTCGTTTATTCAATTTAGTTTTCTGGGCAACCGAGTTCGATATGCATTTCTGGGCAATCCAACACGTTAATGACCTATAGAGGACGAATAAACAACCGTACACTGTAGCAGTCGTATCAAGGACGAATAAGTAATCCACCTCGATTTATATCAATCGAACTCGAAATGGAACACAATGATCGGATAAACTGACGTTTATTAGCCTTGACTAAAACCAATGGAGCTCGAAATAAACACACGGCCCATAACTGTATCGAATACGATTGATTCGTTCTGCGTACCACTAGCGAATCTCAGCCGATCGACCCGTGTTCCCCATTCGAACTCGGTTTCTCAGCCCGAGTGCAAATTGTGCCTCATCTACGAGGACCGAGATCCCTTGGGTACCCTGCATATCGGTCAACTTTAGTTTCGACACACCGCAAAGAGAATTGATGTATTTTTATCACCTTAAGGAGAATTCCTTAGTTTTTAGTTGACGCCACCCTAGTCTTTCTATACTTAGACTGCTGTATAGGTTGACTGAAACGTTTAGGTTCATTAAGGGTGGCCTTTCTTGTGGCTAACTCAGACATGCGAATATCTCAGGTGGAGAAGGTAACGTTACTCATCCCATTCTTAAAATAGTGTTTATATTGGAATTAGCTTGAAAGGTTTTCACGCTAATGTTTTTCATGGAAGAAATTGTAACTTCAGAATGGCTAATGCTACGCGAGCTTCGTATGGCTGACCCAATTACACGGCAGTCGTATAATGTCGCTGAAGTTCTCCATTTCATTCCTGATACTATAAACCCTTTAAAGTATTTGCCACGCTTTCTATGGGAACATTGGAAACAATTTTAGGAGAGCTGCTTGTATCTGAGTTAAGTAGACGGTAATCATAAAACGTCCTCGAAGTTCTCAATTCCTGATACTTATAAACGGTTTCTTTTAGAATATTTGAAACCAATATTATTGTAAACAGTATTACCTCGGATGCATAGCCCTTTTATTGTAGTCAGAAAGGGAGGTTTACTTTAAATAACGCTCATCTTGTGCAGCTCATAGAGTCAATTTCATTGACAATGATAAACTTGTAGTTTATTCTGTGGGGTACTTAGTTTTAAACTTTCAATGAAACATGAATATGATGCCTTAAACTGGAGAAAGATATTAATGTGAATTCATGTTTTTAATAACTTTTTTTAACTATAACAGGTTGAAACGAAGACATTGCAGAATTCAGGTTTAATTACGATACGTTTCATATTAATTTCTATTACTCATGTTCTTTCTTTCTTTTTTGTCTTCTCTCTTTTCTGTTTCTGATGTCTTTTCTTTTCATTTTTTTTTTGGGTGGTCTCCATCCAATTCATTGCTTGTGAAATCTGGAAGTAAAGAAGATGTAGTTTCTTAAGCATGTCAAATGGGATGAAAAAATAATAACAAAAATTATTATCATTATTATAATACAATGGTTTTTAAAATTATTCAGCTCAAAATGTAGCCTTTGCAAAAGTAGTTTTATGGTACATTTTGGCAGGATTTTTAATGTCAAGGGCTGGTTCATAGATTAGGCCTTCAGGAATTGCTCTGAATCACAGCAGTTGGATTAGGCTGGCAATCCCTAAAAATTGACAGAAGAGAAGTTTCTCTACATACCTTCAACAGTTTTGGAGAGATCTTCTACCAATTCTGGCTTATTCCCTCTAAAGCTAACCTGCAAGAAATAAAGAAAGGAGACGGGAGGTATGCTACCCAGGCGACAGGTTGCCTTGGTTGCATACCTCCCTTTATTTTGCCGACCAATGCCCTAGCCATGAACTTTCGAATTTATCTCATACTAGACTAATGAATTTTGGGAAAATTGTGCCAAATATCACTGGTGTTTTGTTAAATGAAGTTTAGTTGCTTCAAGGGTTCATTCAATTATTCTTGAATAGCAGCTTTACGCGAGAGTTTCTTTCTTAAAAATATATTTTCTTAACCCATGAGTCAGTATATGAGAAGTGATTTACTTTCTGGTCTATTTCTCAAGCCCAAGCAATGTAGCAATGGTCTTGCTTTGTAAGATGTATGTTAATAATATGTATGCCAATATGTATGTCGATATGTGTGCTGAATTATTATGTGCCTAAGAACCTGGAGGCAAAGATCCTCGCTCACGAAGAGCATGGACACAGAGGACCTGGCTCAATTAGGAACCGACATGTGCTAAAATGTTATGTGCCTAAGAACCTGGAGGCAAAGATCCTCGCTCACGAAGAGCATGGACACAGAGGACCTGGCTCAATTAGGAACCGACATGTGCTAAAATGTTATGTGCCCAGGAACCTGGAGGCCAAGATCCTCGCACACAAAGAGCATGGACGCAGAGGGCCTGGCTCAATTAGGAACCGACATGTGCTAAATGTTATGTGCCTAAGAACCTGGAGGCAAAGATCCTCGCTCACGAAGAGCATGGACACAGAGGACTTGGCTCAATTAAGAACCGACATGTGCTTAAATGTTACGTGCCTAAGAACCTGGAGGCAAAGATCTTCGCTCACGAAGAGCATGGACACAAAGGACTTGGCTCAATTAGGAACCGACGTGTGCTTAAATGTTGTTTCCCTGATAACCTTTTGTCTCAGAGAAAGTAGAGCCTAAGATTCTCCCGTAGCATTTTGGATGGAAACACAAGACCTTAACAGGCCGTGTTGTTTGATGCTTGATTAGCGCTAATCTTTGGTAAACTGGGGCTAAAACCACGGCATTGCCATGGTAGTTAACGGTGATTAGTGCTAATGTGGCTTTCAACATCTTGGCTCCGGCCTTCAGTGACTATGTACAATAGGAAAATGGCTGTGCCACGCAATGTTCACCATTTCTTCCATACCTTATCACTTGATTCCTTTTCTTCTCTTTTTTTGTTTTCCTTGATTGGAGCATAAAAAAATATGATTTAATAAAACTGAAAACCTTAATTGCCATAAATTTTACCCTTACATATCTTTAAATTTTCCATATTACTTTGATAGATATATCCTCAAATGTGTCATTCTAAGATTATTTTCCAAGGAGTTTCTTGTCTTATACAGGCTGTGATTTCTGATGTTTCATTGCACTTTAATTGATGTAGCCTTGGCTCCTATAGAACACTAACCCATTCCCAAATGTGAAGAACCTCATCACCCTGCAGCTGGTCACAGTGCCTAAGGACATTGTTGCCCCTTTGAAGGTTGAAATACAATGGAATTGTTTTGGAACTTCCCAACCAGTCATACACTTCCTTTCAAGGATAAAATTTTGTGGCTATTAACATAGAGGTCAATTGACAACTCTTCTATATGTCATTACCAAACATTTACCTGGAAGTATGCTGTTTCCTTGAATTTTCGCATCCATTGTTTTCCCTCTAGGTCTGTCACCTTTATTTGCCGACCTGATTGTGGTTCCTCAGATAACCACAATTCTCTTGTTTTCCTTATCTGTATAAAAATAGATAAATCAATGTATTAACCATCAACTGTGTTCTTCATTCTATCCTTTAATTTAGTCCACAATGTTAAGAAAAAGAGTGCAGAACGATTTTTGTTTTTCTTTAGGATGTGAAAAGTCTTGTAACCTGTATGTACATGGGATGGGATTTCAAATATGTACTATTAATTGTATTCCTTTCATCGCTTGTGTTTGTATTTTGTTCCTAATATTATATCTACTCTTACTATTTCTATTTCTCGGTATTTTGCTTTTTCTATTAACTTTTTCATTTTTCTTCAACGATGATACTTACATTACCCAAAGGTTGTTCATGTCAGAACTAATTCTAAATACATGCTTGTTCCTTTTTTTAGGTGATGAAACTCACCTCGTTTCCCAGTTCCTCCACTTGATCATTTCTTTCTAGTCTCCACTTGGCATACTGTTCTCTGTATGTCAAAATAATCACCACTACTATGAGCACTGGTCATGATATACGAAGCAATGCACTTTAAAGCTATACTCTTAAAGCAATGATGTATTAAAGAAGCATCACACTGTATGTAGCTTGGCAAGTACAGTGCAAGGGTGGTTTTTGTGGCTCCATAGCGTAAACGCGTTCATATCTACTGGCAGCAGTGTTGTTTGAGTTCTGTGTTTTGTTAGACACCTCCACTATACTATACTGAATTGATGCACTGAGTGTTACACTGATTCCTTAACGAAGCATGCCTCTGGTACAATTGATTATACTAGTTTCAAATATTACCTTTGTTGACCCTCCTTCGTAATATGCAAAGCTGCCCTTTCGATTATGTGTTTTAAAATTTCATCATGTGTATCTGTTTCTGTATCTAAAAGTATACATAAATTTTTATAAATTATGTTCAGTGGACCTAGATAACGCTTCACTTGTAGGAACATAAGCTCTTTCTCTCTCTCAACACTATTTTTGGCTTTCTGGAGCGAATGGTCTTAATTCTTCATTGCTTCAAGTCAAAAAGTGGTTTCGGTGTAATATATTATTATACATTATTATGCTAACTCTGCCATACCTGCAATTTCGCCTAACAAGGTGGCATTCCTGCCTGTGGATGGTGCAAGAAATAGAATCTGGTCTTTTCTCTGATCACCACCGTATGCATGAAAAACTGAAAATAAGGAAAAATAACAGTTGTTTGTCATTGCAGACATGATCTCCTTGAAATATTTGGAGGTAGGAGGTAGTGTTTGAAAATTCATCCCAAGATCAGGTTGAAGACCAAGCAATTGTGAGTTGTGATTATTGTCATCATCAAACCAATTTTGATCTCGGCTTTCCCCCAATCATAGAGGTGCCACGATTTATCATACTTTGCCAACATAATTACTTACTCCCATTTACTTCAAACATTACCAATATGATGCACTGATATCGCTACAATTATTTGGCCCTTGAAGATTATTTTAACCAGAGGTCAAACTACTGGACACTGCTTTCTTTCATTATCAAGCTCTGTGTAACATCATTTGTGTCCCTCCCTCCTCATGCCCCCCTCCCCAATTTTACTGAATCATACCATTATGGTTTTAATGGCTCTTTCACACAAAGCCGTTCTGTGCTCGCCAAGGGAGGGGCATCGTGTATAATTTGCGAAACTTCCGATTCAGATCCTACCTTTTTGAATTTCAATGCACATATGACTGGTGCAACAAAACTGAATGTAGCTCTAAGGGATGGGGTATCGCATACCTTTTCTTCCCTCACTGGACCAGGTCTCAGTTACAGGTATTCTAAGATCAGTCAAAATGAGGGTGAGACAATTCATTTTGTACATATTGGTGTAGCACTCCATATTAATGCATAGATGAACTGCTTGTGACTATTACAGTCAGTAACCCCCTTTTTACTTGAACTATTTATTACCCTTCAGTCTTCTATAGTAGTCTGTTTCCATTATGTTATTACAAATTAGTATATACACACTCAGTCATCTTGGCATTTCAGGCAATCTGATTGGTTCACTATCTCTGGCTATTCAACAAGATACACCTCCGAGCAAAAGGATAATGTGAAAAACAAAATGGTAGGGGTAAACTCGTGTTTTGCTAAAGTTTCAGAAGCAGAAACTTTATAAATATCTTCAAATGCCATCAAATATATTTCTTTTAAGTTATTGTCGAGATCACTTCAAGTGTTTATCCTAAAACATCTCGGTGAATTGTGGCTTTTGGGAATATTTACCTCAATTTCAAAGAATAATTGCTAATTGCACCTCAACATGGCTCCTCTCTGGGCATCACCCCTCTGTCTTGAATTGACAAGGACATCAATCATTCCTTTATTTTCCTCTCGTGCTTGCCAACATAACTGAAGATACAAAACAATAAAATCATTCTTTGTTTTCTATAGAAATGAATGCACAGTACGTTCAAGTTACATATATTTACTGCTCTATTCCGGGTCTTAAAATTCATGCAGCATTTGGGAACATGGTTCTGCCTTGAAAAAACCAAATCATTATGATTGAATATCACTCAAATGCTTAACACATGGCATTATTGAGCACATAAGATTGCTGAGCCAACACACCTGTCCCTTGTTCTTTTATCATAATCATGCTGAGTACGGTATCTCTTCTTTACGCATATAGCTGTAATGAAATGCACATTTTCAAGAAATGTGCACTGTTCTTGCATGTTTATGTTAGGGCTTTATATCTCCTCAAAGTGGTGGATCAAAAAGGGCAACATCGCTGTATTTTCACCTCCCATCTGACGTAGTTTTTGGCATTTTACAACCTCATCCTCTCTACACACTCTGCTTGATGACCCTGTAATAGGAGGCAGACTATTATTTTGATATCAAGGAAGTTGAATTTAGTTACGCTGACACGGGTTCTCACCAGTAATCTGTCAACTACACCTTACTGTTCTTTGAAGAGTTTGAGGAGGGTTGGGGACATATCCTGCAATGCTGACTTCAATTTCATATAATTTTCTTATTATTGTTTTCCAAATCGCTTCAAACACTAAATAGTTGTATTCCTTTTTCTGTTCACTGGCCACATTGGTATTGCTTTTGATAAAAAGTCAGAAGTTTTCCATCTACCCTTGGTTTTTGGTCATAAAACATGGGGTCATAAGAAAAATAAATGAGTTGTTTATCAATCATTCAATTTGAAATGACATACGCACCTCCCAATCCGAACCAAGAGAAGTCCTCCTCCACCACTCCACCTATTGAGATTAATGTGGACTTACTGCATGTAAGATTGCTAAAGTTAATTGCATAATTCCTTGCCATTCAGGATTGCAAAATCACCATGTTCAAAATTGCAGGTTTTCAATCAGAAAACGTCCCAAGGCTGTCACTATCAGTGGCCAACCACAAGAGGCTGTTTCCATAGCTGCCTTAATTTATAATCCTTTATTGAGGGAACCTGCACTAAAATAAGAATATAACTGTAAAGTATTGAATGTAATGTTTTCCTTCAAAATTTTTTGATCTTTTTCCAATGGAAGCATTTGTATCCAAGAGAGACAAAGTTCAAAAACGTTTTTCTTGGTTTTCAAATTTCCCGTGCACTGCCAGTTTGAATGATTGACGCGGATACAAACTGTTCCATTGGAAAAAGATCTGACACTTTTGATTGTAAAAATTATGTTGCATATTTTAAAGTTACATTCTTGTTTTAGTGGAGGTTCCCTTTAAAGCTTTGATTGACACAATAGTCCATGTTATTGAAGAAGTAACACTTTTGTACTGGAACAAATTTATACCGGTGCATTTACCCTTTATTCCGCTACCATAAAATGGTGTGCCTTTGAATCCTGTAATATAATAACATTGCAAGGATGAGCTGAATGTACACCTTTTAATTTTCTACTGGAATATATTCATTGGCTATCACTTCCGTAGATAATACTTGAACAGTTTGCCTTACCCGATGAAGAAGGGATAGTCCAGGAAAAGAAGATGAAAATAACAACTGATGCACATGATGCATATTCTTTGTGAAATGATTATAAATTCCTCATTCAAACACAGAGATTGCTAGGAGTTATGTTGCATAGATACTTTTCTATTTTGAGCACTCTGGCATGGCTTAGACGATACACAAGTGTGGGATCCTTTGGGGTGACCATACACTTCGGTTCTCCTCCATCCTATTAACAGCATTGCACTGATGAGGCCCAGAAGGCCGAAACAGCACTATCTGCAGTTATATATATAAGTAGAAGCTTGTAAGGGGTCCCACAAACAATGCTGATCAGTCTCAAACGCGCTGCGTGGAGGATCACTGAAGCGATCGTGGGCTCTTGAAATAACGTAAATAAAAGCAGAAATGTAATGGTCAAGAGGCCAACTCCAATGTAGCTTTGTTGGTTTAATAGCTCGACGTTTCGACCGTCTCGGTCTTCCTCAGGAGCATACTAATTACATGAAGGACGTAAACAGAGAGACTCTTGACGGGAACATGTCGACACGAATCTGCTGATCTATACACCATCTTGTTGTTGTTACAAGCCGTGACATATATATAAAATAAAAACAAGTTTTACCCCAAAATTCACTTTCCTTAACTTTTCTATACCCAGATTGTCTTATTCATCTTGCATGTAAAATCAATACATAAGAAGTTCACCTTTTGTCGTGGCCTCCAGTATATTAGATGCAACTGTTGTTTCTACTGTGATAGGAACTGAAATTGAATGGAAAGACACTAGGTACTATACTTTTTCCACTATGAAGTTTAGAAATCTCATTTTGACTTACAATTGGGTAACAGAGGATCTATCTCAATTACATCATCTGCAAATACACTTTGCACAAAGTCACCATCTGCAAGATGTAATATTGGTGTGAAAGATTATATGATTCGTGACCAACATATTTGGTCTTTGCTACAAGGTGGGCACTTCATTGTTACATACAATGCAGAAATAAATATAGTCAAATCAATTCTACCTTTCTATGTAATTTAATGGAGATAGAAATGATGAACATGATATACAATCTACTTAAACAAGGGAGGAAGTGACACATCTTACCATCATTGTAACACTTTGGGCTACTGCATAATAACTGCAAGAGGCTACTATACTGTTACCTCGGTGCCCTTTGTGCCATTGTGATGCCGGATATATTATGAAAGACGGAGAGGCAAATAACTAATAACTAATAATAAAAGGATTACCAGTGTAGCAGATCCTACCGGTAACCAGGATGCTGCTACTAAAGTTTAAATGTAGACTTCCATAGTCAAACACATACCACTGGGTTACAGGCAAAGTTTCTAAAACCAGTGAAACCATGACAGGAGCATTAGCCATGTCAAACAATAAAATTACTGGATTGGCAGCACCAACTAGTAACAATGATGCAGCTACTAAAGATTATGCTGATACCAGAGTGTCTAAGGCTGGAAAATCTATGACAGGAAATTTGGATATGACTTCAAACTACATAAGAAACTTAAAATCACCCTCAACTTATTCTGATGCTGTAAATAAAATTTATGTTGATACAAGTATTTATGTATATGAGAACGATCCTTCGCAGTAAAGCACTATTTGAGCAATAGTGAAAATCAGACCTGAAAAAAATTTCAGGCCTGTACGGGATTCGAACCACTGACCTCTGCGATACTAGTGCAGCGCTCTACCAATTGAGCTAACAAGCCAACTGGGAGCAGGCCATCAAATTAATTCGATATAAACCCGTAGATGATAAATCAAACAACAACAAACATATGAAACATATGTGTGAACTGCGGTTATGAGACGTATATGAGAACGATCCTTCGCAGTAAAGCACTATTTGAGCAATAGTGAAAATCAGACCTGAAAAAAATTTCAGGCCTGTACGGGATTCGAACCACTGACCTCTGCGATACTAGTGCAGCGCTCTACCAATTGAGCTAACAAGCCAACTGGGAGCAGGCCATCAAATTAATTCGATATAAACCCGTAGATGATAAATCAAACAACAACAAACATATGAAACATATGTGTGAACTGCGGTTATGAGACGTATATGAGAACGATCCTTCGCAGTAAAGCACTATTTGAGCAATAGTGAAAATCAGACCTGAAAAAAATTTCAGGCCTGTACGGGATTCGAACCACTGACCTCTGCGATACTAGTGCAGCGCTCTACCAATTGAGCTAACAAGCCAACTGGGAGCAGGCCATCAAATTAATTCGATATAAACCCGTAGATGATAAATCAAACAACAACAAACATATGAAACATATGTGTGAACTGCGGTTATGAGACGTATATGAGAACGATCCTTCGCAGTAAAGCACTATTTGAGCAATAGTGAAAATCAGACCTGAAAAAAATTTCAGGCCTGTACGGGATTCGAACCACTGACCTCTGCGATACTAGTGCAGCGCTCTACCAATTGAGCTAACAAGCCAACTGGGAGCAGGCCATCAAATTAATTCGATATAAACCCGTAGATGATAAATCAAACAACAACAAACATATGAAACATATGTGTGAACTGCGGTTATGAGACGTATATGAGAACGATCCTTCGCAGTAAAGCACTATTTGAGCAATAGTGAAAATCAGACCTGAAAAAAATTTCAGGCCTGTACGGGATTCGAACCACTGACCTCTGCGATACTAGTGCAGCGCTCTACCAATTGAGCTAACAAGCCAACTGGGAGCAGGCCATCAAATTAATTCGATATAAACCCGTAGATGATAAATCAAACAACAACAAACATATGAAACATATGTGTGAACTGCGGTTATGAGACGTATATGAGAACGATCCTTCGCAGTAAAGCACTATTTGAGCAATAGTGAAAATCAGACCTGAAAAAAATTTCAGGCCTGTACGGGATTCGAACCACTGACCTCTGCGATACTAGTGCAGCGCTCTACCAATTGAGCTAACAAGCCAACTGGGAGCAGGCCATCAAATTAATTCGATATAAACCCGTAGATGATAAATCAAACAACAACAAACATATGAAACATATGTGTGAACTGCGGTTATGAGACGTATATGAGAACGATCCTTCGCAGTAAAGCACTATTTGAGCAATAGTGAAAATCAGACCTGAAAAAAATTTCAGGCCTGTACGGGATTCGAACCACTGACCTCTGCGATACTAGTGCAGCGCTCTACCAATTGAGCTAACAAGCCAACTGGGAGCAGGCCATCAAATTAATTCGATATAAACCCGTAGATGATAAATCAAACAACAACAAACATATGAAACATATGTGTGAACTGCGGTTATGAGACGTATATGAGAACGATCCTTCGCAGTAAAGCACTATTTGAGCAATAGTGAAAATCAGACCTGAAAAAAATTTCAGGCCTGTACGGGATTCGAACCACTGACCTCTGCGATACTAGTGCAGCGCTCTACCAATTGAGCTAACAAGCCAACTGGGAGCAGGCCATCAAATTAATTCGATATAAACCCGTAGATGATAAATCAAACAACAACAAACATATGAAACATATGTGTGAACTGCGGTTATGAGACGTATATGAGAACGATCCTTCGCAGTAAAGCACTATTTGAGCAATAGTGAAAATCAGACCTGAAAAAAATTTCAGGCCTGTACGGGATTCGAACCACTGACCTCTGCGATACTAGTGCAGCGCTCTACCAATTGAGCTAACAAGCCAACTGGGAGCAGGCCATCAAATTAATTCGATATAAACCCGTAGATGATAAATCAAACAACAACAAACATATGAAACATATGTGTGAACTGCGGTTATGAGACGTATATGAGAACGATCCTTCGCAGTAAAGCACTATTTGAGCAATAGTGAAAATCAGACCTGAAAAAAATTTCAGGCCTGTACGGGATTCGAACCACTGACCTCTGCGATACTAGTGCAGCGCTCTACCAATTGAGCTAACAAGCCAACTGGGAGCAGGCCATCAAATTAATTCGATATAAACCCGTAGATGATAAATCAAACAACAACAAACATATGAAACATATGTGTGAACTGCGGTTATGAGACGTATATGAGAACGATCCTTCGCAGTAAAGCACTATTTGAGCAATAGTGAAAATNCGGCAAGTCTGAGGATAACGAACAAATCCCTCTGTACCAAATGCCTAGCAGAACATGCCCAGAATCCCTACAATATAGGGCGAGGGCCAAAATAAGAGCAGACGAGGATTTCAAAAATGAGATAAAGCAAATCCTTAACAACGCGGAGCAAGAAACAGTAAAGGCGATCATGTGCTTCTATGAACGTGAAATCGGTCGTTTTAATACCGAAATAAAGAAAAGAAAACGAGCCAAAACGGCTGGAACACTGAACACTAAGAACTGTAGTACGATCGAATCAGCGCGCGTGGCGCAAGCTGAAAGCAATCAAGACAACTTAACGATCGAGACAGTCAAAAAAATAGCTGTACATCTACAAAGGCGAACGATTCGAAAAAGACGCAATCCCTGATGTGCGTACTCAGTGCCACACATAAAGCAAATTCTCATGAAAAACTGGCATTTAATAGAAACACAACCACTACTGAGCGAACTATACAAAAATCCGCCGCTCGTATCTTACAAAAGAGGGCGGTCGCTCAAAGACATACTCGTGAGGGCTAAACTTTGAATAGGCTACTCTAAACACACGCTTGGGAGTCGTGTAGGCCTGTCAACCCCATTTTACGCCACCATCTTCCTCTTCGCTACTGGAGACAACTTCGCTTCGTTCAGAAGAAGATTCACTTGACAAAACTTCAATATCTGCCATCTCCTTCGCCCACGAATACAAACAAACAGTGAGTGAAATAAACCACGCTATCGGAGTGAACACAACCAGTGACGTCATCAATCCATTTCGCTCGGTACCAGGG